ACTTTTCAAGATGACTGTTAAAATAGACTTTTGAACTAGGATAGTTTGAAATTGAGTATAAGTCTACATGCTACTAAAGCTTAGGTCTTAATAGGCTTGTGCCAAGACCTCAGGGTTCAAAGACTACCACTAGTGTAGAGGTCCAAGATATTCGACAGATATTTATTGTAGAAGGGATATCCAAAGCCTCTAGATTATATGCGAGCATTATCTTGACCAGCTAAGGAAAATTAGGGGAACTACAATGTGCACTCTGATTTAGGTTTTCAGCCACAAATGACCAAGTAAAGTATGGGGTAGTTGTTATTGGGCTCGAGCTCACTCTAACCTAGGCATCGAATATGTCAGGATTTTAACAACTCATAGCTGGCCGTCAATCAAATCTATAGGACTTTTAAGAAGTATGAAGAAGCGATGAGCATGTACAGCCTCAAAGTTTATGGCCTCTAGAGATGATTCAGAACTTGTGAAATACTCAAATACCCCATGAAGAAAAATATCAACACTGATGCACTCTCGTGCTTTGTTCTCATGAACATTGATGGTCTGGGAAGAACAATTCACACCAAGATCATGGTGGAACCTAATATAACACATTCGTCTGAAATCATGGACATTGACCTCGAGCCCTACTAACTCTACCCGATCATTACGTATATTCATGATAACAGGCTCTTCGAGGACTTTAGAGCTTTCAGAAGCATCATTGCTTGGGCTCCCGAGTACTGCATCCTCTAGTATACATTTTTCTGACGAAACTTCACTTGCCTTATCTTAGGTGCTTGAGACCTTTCGAAACTACCCAAACTTTGACGGATGTCCATAGGACATATGCGACAACTACCAGAACGCTCTCACTTGAACAACAAAACTTCTCAAATATAGATACTACGACATAGTATGAGAAAGGATGCCTGATAATACTACAAGAAGTGTGACAAGTATCAAAGATTTGGGAACATCATACATGCTCCATCTTAGAGTTGACTTTAATAACCTAGCCTAACATTATCAGTAGTTAGGAGTTGACATCATTGGGCCATTCACTCAAGCCCGAGGATAAATGGCTTGAGATCAAGCCTTGACGATCATCTTTAAGGCTAAACTTGAAAGTTTCATCTAGAAATCCATCATATCCAGGTTTGGATTGCCCTAGACACTCATAATCAACAATTGTCCACAATTTTGCGATTTAATTTTCCAAGATTTTTACAACAGGTTCAACATCGAGCTCCATCTGACCTCAGTCTATTACCCATAGTAATAGGTTGGCAAAAGTCATAAACAAGGTCATACTACAAGACCTCCACACCAAGGTTAGGGAGGCTAGTAGAAATTGGCACGATCATATTCCAACAGTTCCATGGGCCTACCACTCACAATATAGACATGGAAAAAACCCATTTCATGCTGGATTTAGGCATCAAGGCCAATATCCTCAGCCTACTTATCATGAGCTCAAGGGCTATCGATCGTGAGAAGCTCGACTTCTTCGAAGAGATATGAGAATGCATAGTTCTTAAGATTTCTTCCTATCAGCAAAAAAATTGCCCATGTACTTCAGCAACGAAGTCAAGTACCAAGAGTTCTGTACTAAAGACCTAGTGCTACAGAAGGTAAAAGCAACAAAATACAAACATGGGAAGCTAATGACTAAATTTTGAGAAAAGTTTGCAAAGTAGATTTCAGTCTCCGAGAGATGAAAGGAAAGCCTCCACTTTGGCCATGGAAAGTAGACAACCTAATGACTACTCTAGGTCGATGTCTTCACTTTGGTCTTAGTCTACCTAGGACATTTTTTGCCCTTTTTAGTTTTGGCTCTGACATGAATGGTTGCTGGTAGCCTTCGATATAGCAGGCTCAAAGTCATGCCTATAAAATAAAATAAGTGATTAGCATGACCTTTGACCAAAATGCAAAAAACATATAGAAATTTAGGTCCCCACCTCTATTAGATCCTAGACCATCTACCTCGAGCACATCCTTCGTCAATAAGTGATTACCTTTGGTGGCCAAGGCCTATAGCCTACTAAGCTCTCTGTACACTTGGTTATGTTCTCAAAATAGACTTGTCTCACTATAGTTCATTCTTGGCCATGGTCGAGTCCATTCTAAACAGGTGGTCGAGCTCCGCCTCTTGAGGCCTTATTAGAAGCAAGGCCTTCCTTGTAGTGAGCTTGAGCTTTTGGGAAAGTTGAACCTTTTTTTAAGAATAGATATAAGAAGCTATTCATCTTAGGGAATTATTTTAGGTCAAGCACCTATCTATAAAGGTTTCGACCTGTGGTCATGGACAAATAATGGTAAGATATAAATATGTCAACAACCTCCAAGCGTTCGAGGCTATCTACCCCTGGATAAGCTTGAAGCTGGTTAGGAGCTTGATGATAACGAGGTGTGTAGGCCACCTAAAGCCTCCTTTGAGAAGATCCCTAAAGAAAACTATCTCACACGATCTATAATGATGCTTCTTGTCCTCGCGCCTTGGGACCCTCATCTCGTACCTCTTTGTGAGATTGAAGTCTCAGGCCATGGCCACCACCACGTGCCTTTTATATGAGAAGGGTATGTTAGACACCTCTAGATGTGGCCTCTATTATTCGGCCTGATTGGTATTCCTACATGTGTGTGCCCGACGCCTTCAACATGATCAGTCAGCTCGATGGCATCAGCCTCATCTTCGTCCCTCACCCTGGGGTCATGCTTTCTCATCCCATCCTGATCACTCTTTTTGGTCTTTTTTACACTCTCATCACTAGAGTCCAATAACTCGAGGGTTGCGGCTAATCTTTCCTTTTCTACCATCTCTATATCGCTCTCTACACCTCAATCCATGCCCTATAAGAATGCAACTAGGACTAGGAATAAATTAAGAAGAAGTTAATGCCTTACCTCTAAGTCGGGTGCTCAAGCTCTTTGCTTATTAGGATTTGGTGAAAATGAAAGTAAAATATGAAAATAGTGAAGGATATTTATAAGGGGTTACTATGACATGATGATGCATGTCCGACACCTCACTATTACATGATAACATACGGAGTGGTAACACATATCCCTTCAAAATGATTTGATCGCTACATGCATTCGTGATTCCTACGCTCCTTGGAAGGGTACTCCTAACTCTGAGCTCAGCCTCAAGTACACAAGAGCCATTGATGGTATTATAACTTCCTAGCTTGATGCCTCATCTTAGGTTATGCCTTGGGGAGATGCCTCATCCCCGGGGTCAAGGACCCATACCCCTGTGAGTCTATCCCATTTCACCTCGGTGATCCTCGACCCTCTGTAGGTCTACCTAGGTTCCATTGTCATATTGTGGCAAGGAATCCTTGTCTATTACGTCTCCTACACTTCGGTCCTAACAGAATTTTGAAGCCA